CCAAACCATTCTATGATTCTATGTTTCTAAAATTGTGAGAGCTTGATATTTCTCTGTGGGTTATGGGTCAATGGAATGTGATGAAACTGCATGAGAATCAGTGGGCAGCATCTATGATTCCAGATGATCCTAGCCCTATAAGGTACTCTGCTTTGTTCTCAGTGAGACCAAGCAGGGGACTCTAAATTACTATCTGTAAAGGTCAGATCGGACTGCAGGGAGCCTGCCTTTGTGAAAGTCAAGAATCCTCACTGGGCTGGTAATGGAATTGCTGGAAAAAAATTTCATACAGTAGGTAATAATAATGAAGACTAGCAAGAATATTGCTTGAGAAATTGTGTGCATTCAAATGTATATTTTTAGGTTAGTTGGCTGGGATACAAAGGCTCTATCATATTCACGAGGGATTTTGCTCAATAGGATCAGATTTGGACAGTAAAACTGTTGCTGAGGAACCCAGGTCCACACTATTCTTATTTTCAATGGTTTGACTACAGACTGACTCTGAAGATTGAAGGCCTGTTAATGATTGGAGCCACCACATGTTGAGGCCACCACAGGAGTCCTTGCTATATTTCAGCTTCATCTGGAAAGAAGATGATCCAAGACTGTTCTGAAATGTGAGCCCAAGTGTGGTGACTGGCACATTGGGAAGTTTTGTTTCAAATGCACACTGCTGATCTGAATTAATCTACTGATGCAGACACACCCACACTTTCAGTTTGGGAACTCTTAAGGCAGCTTGCCTGGGAATGCGGTCAAGACATCAGACAACTCTCAGATAAAAGTTTCATCACATGCAATATGTGTGGCCTCACCATGTCCCTTTGAGTTTGTAGAATTAACACTTTTTGACATGTGTTGCAAATTACTTATTTAAATGCTGCTAAGTAGAAAGTCACACCTCTAGTAATAAAGAAAACAGCCCAAGTGGGCTAAATGATTGTCTTACAAAGCAATAACTTTGAGAAGACTTTGAGTATCTTGTTAGATATCCTTGTTGGATAAACAACTGTTATCTCCTAGCAGTTCACTCCTAACTCCTGGGGGGCTGGCTGCATGTGGGAACACTAATACATTTCTTCTAGTGGTACTTCCCCTTTTTCTAGCATTGGGAAAAATGTCATGGACATTTAGTCTGATCCTGTTGTCACTGCTTTTGAGAAAATGACATTAAAAAAAAAATCAAAGTTCAGAGAAAAAACACAGTAGATATGAAGACTGAAAAATGCATTTCAACATGAGAGGCTGAACATGTACCATCTTCATTGTTTGTCAAGAAGCAGTGGTGATGACTTTTTCAAATTTAACAAGCTGTATTGCAAGGAGAAAGTATAGGAGAGCCATCTAGCAAAGTGTAGAAAAGAACCTAGGGCTGAACATTAGGAAAACTGGATAAAATCACACTAGAGACTAACCACCAGGACCAAGAAAGGGATATTTGTGTGGAAAAAATAAGGAGAAAGAGGCATCAAATATTGGAGGTCAATAAGTTTCACCCTATTTCCAAGATAATACCTCTGAGGGACAATGTTTCTTAGGAAAGTGATTTCTATGTGTACTCTTCCTTCAAGGTCCTAGCAGGTTTTAGAGGTTTTGCCTGTAAATCACTGGCTCAGAGTGACGCCTATTGGATTAATGCAGAGAGGCAAGTGACCAGACAAGCTCTTCAAGTCATTAAGCAAAACTAGAGGGCCTTCTAAAAAGATGTATTTCTTACTCCCCCAAGGGAGGCAAGTTTAGTCTTAACATTTACAAAAAAAAAAAGGTAAAGTTAATAAATTCCTGTATTGGAGCACTCACATGTGGCTGCAGTGCCAGCTGGGAGGATTTGGGCTATGACTATGACATTTCTAGTTCTCATTGTGAACATCTATGAGTAATTATGCCCCCAAAGGTTGAAAAATGTAGCCTTAGTTCAGCTAAAAGTGTATAGTTTCAGGTGGGAATGGGTGGGCTCATTATTCAGTGTAAACTTATGGTCTTTGCTGGTATGTAAGAACTCACATCCTGTGTCCCTTGAAATTAGGAAATATTCTAGAAAACTGTATGGAGGACTGAGCTGTTTTCCATATTTCTGGAGGAGTGTTAATGTGGAAAAGCTAGTCACATTTCAGCATTGCTAAAATACATGGCACTCCTGCACTGGTGCTGTACAAGTAAGTAATATTCATGTGCGTAATCTGTATCTAAAAATTGATTAGGATGTGAGTTTGAAATACCACATTTTCACATCCCAATACAAAACTGAAATACTTGGTAAGACAATTTTCTTTCTTTCTTTCTTTCTTTCTTTCTTTCTTTCCTTCTTTCTTAATGGAATTCATTTCTCTTCCTTGCTTTGCTTATGCACAGACAGATCCCACCTGCTCTTCTCATGTCAATAAATCCACTGACACAATGAGACCACTTTCGAGAGGGCATTGCATGCTCTGGGACTCCTGGCACAAAGCAAAGCAAATTTGACATAATTTCATAATTTTATGACATTACAGCTGCAGTTTTTGTGTCTCCACACACTTATATCTCCCTTTCTCGATTATCCTTGCTGGATTGCTGACTGCCATCTAGTGATCCCTTTAACCACCGTGTTCCCTATTGTCACTTTACAATATGCTTGTCTTACAGCTCCAACCTTTTGGTTTATAGCCTGCCCTCTTTCTCTTTTTCCCTGGTGTTATGACCAATATCAATTATAAAGCTTTGAAACACAGCCTACCAATCCCAGCAAAGGACAAACTAAATGTGATATTAAGTCATAATTTTAGTCCACATAATTTTTTTCTCCTTCTGTATTTTATAGAAGGGATATTGGATTTCTGTGTTTCACTATAACCTTGCTGTCAAATAAAATCCTTCAGCAAGGGAGAAGGTTGTTTAACCCACCAGCAATGAACCATTGATTATAGTTGAATGTATTTAGCGCGTTAATATGCCCATCTAGCCTGGTACATGCTGTCCATGCTTTTTGGCTCTTTCTCTAAGTGACTTGGTGCAGCTGCCTGTGTGTTGAGGGAGCAGACAGAGCTCAACTGTTTCTAGCACCATGCCAAGAAAACCTGCTCAGAGCAAAACCTAATGACTCCATGCTGCAAAAGGAAGTATCCTCACTGCACAAGCCCTTAAATGTCAGCAGGTACTTCTCCCAGCAGTGACAAAATGAGACACTGTATATAGAAACACGGTCCTCTTTCTGAGTTGTTTAGTCACCTAGTCCAAATTAGATGCAAACTGTCCTTAATTCATTAACATCTGAGCAAGGCTCAGAGGAGGTAAAGCATTCTCTAACTGCTGAGAATCATGATAATTAATTTCCGAGTCCAATCCAATTAAAAAAGAACTTCAAAGGGACTTTAAGCAGAGAAATCAGAAATGTAAGTTATTTGAAATATGAGATATTAAACTCTTTTCCCACACAGTCCTAGATATTCCCACTTAATCAAGTGAAGATCTTCCTGTCTCTTTGTCTGTGTGTCCACTTGGAAATGGATGGAGGAGCAGAAGGAGGATGACCAATTAAATATTTTACAGTGGTGAACAAACATCATACTCTCCAGATTGACAGGTAACCACTCTGCATTAGAAAAAAAAAACAAAGGAACAAATGAACAAAAATAAAAAAACAAACCAACAACTGTGAGACTAATGTTGAGCTGACTAATATTTCCATGCGTTAGAATAACAATCATATTAAAAAGACAGGTGCTCAAAAACACTAGAGAAATCAGTGTGATTTATTCAGTGTGTTCAGGGAATCCTAGACACATGTTGATTCTAAGAGCTAAAAGCTTAATTTTTCAGTAAGCAGAGTAAGAAGGGACAATTTGTCTGAAAACCATGAGGACTCTAGAAAATACAAATAGTATCACAGTATTACGAATAGATTTGTTACAGGCACAAGCATCACTCACATCCTGGTACCAACAAGCCACAACTGCAATGCAATATACTTGGCATAGCCACACTGAGCATCCAGGTCAACTTCATAGGTCTAGGACTGATGTAAACAACATGACTGGCTTGGAAAATTACTCAGATGAGATCCATCATTTCTTTTCTCTTAGAGCAAAGGACTTTTCAGAAGAATTGAAGAAGCAAGTATGGGCAGACGACGCCAAGTTGGGCAAGAGTGTTGATCTGCTTGAGGATAGGAAGGCTCTACAGAAGGATCTGGACAGGATGGATCCATGGGCTAAGACAAATTGCATGAGGTACAACAAGTCCTGCACTTGCGTCACAACAACCCCATGAACACTACAGACTTGGGGAAGAGTGGCTGGAAAGCTGCCTGGCTGAAAAGGACCTGGAGATACTGGTCGACAGCCGGCTGAACATGAGCCAGCAGTGTGCCCAGGTGGCCAAGAAGGCCGATAGCATCCTGGCCTGTGTCAGAAACAGTGTGGCCAGCAGGAGTAGGGAAGAAATCATCCCCCTGTACTCAGCACCTGGAGTACTGTGAGCCACTCACTAAAAGAAGATATTGAGGCACTGGAGCATGTCCAAGAAAAGGGTAACAAAGCTGAAGAAGGATCCAGAGCACAAGTCTTATGAGGAACAGCTGAGAGAACTGGGGTTGTTTAGTCTGGAGAAAAGAAGGCTGAGGGGAGATGTTATCGCTCTCTACAACTACCTGAAAGGAGGTTGTAGTGAGGTGGGTGTTGGTCTCGTCTCCCAAGTGATAGGACAAGAGGAAATGGCCTCAAGTTGTGCCAGGGGAGGTTTAGATTGGATATTAAGAAAAATTTCTTTACTGCAAGGGTCATCAGGCATTAGAACAAGCTGCCCAGGGAAGTGGTTGAGTCACCATCCCTGGAGGTGTTTAAAAGAGGTGTAGATGTGATGTTTAGGGACATAGTTTAGTGGTGGACTTGGCAGTGTTAGGTTAACAGTTGGACTCAATCATCTTAAAGATCTTTTCCAAACAACACGATTCTATGAAATAGTGCACCTAGAAGGGATTTTGCAAATGACCTGGATTCATTTTCAACCTCTGCCATTGCTCTCTTGATGATCAAAGGTCATTGTTATTGTCTCCCTGCCTCCGTTTTCCCATCTGGAAAAGCAGATAATCGTGGCAGTCTTTGTCAAATATCTCAAGACCTACTAAAACACTATTCAAAAAGAGTTTCCTGTATCAGAGCATACTCCAGGTATGTTTATAACAAGGTCAGTGCTGGGACTGCAGGTTGTGGTCACATCCCTAGCTCAGTTTCAAACTATCTTCAAAACTACTTCCTAAAAGCTAAGTGAAAGGGCTGAGCTGTACACCTCCTGTTTTGCTAGCAGCACCTGGGCTGCTAGTTTGAGGCTAGTTTGTCTACAAAAACTGAAGTCGTGGCACTATGCTGTGAAGAAGGCACCCTCTCGTGCTGGGCATTTGCATTGCTGGCAGAAAGCCTTCACACAGCAATTTGCTGCTAAACATAGCAGCCAACAGTGAAGATGTTTCAATCTGGCTGTAGCAGCAGGTGGCTTAGCAACAATTAGTCACATTCTTCTCTCTTCACAGAAATAAATTCATTTCCGCATTATGTCTCTGTGTCTGTCTTATTGATTAGTGATGCACAGCACAACCCAGAGAAGCCATTTCTGGTCAAAAAAAACCCCCTCAGTTATCATACAGGAAAATACGTAATGAAAATTGACTGCTCAAGCAAAGTACCCGAGCAAAACAGAAAGCGAAGTCCCCAGGAGACAGCCTGTCATGTTTGCGACCCTGTCTGCTTATAAAGGGCTGCAGCCAAACTGCAAACTGAAGTGCTGTGGAGATCTGTCCAAAGAAAGTATTCACAGGATGTTATGATCCCCAGAAACCCAAAGGATTATGTTCCCAGGAGCTGGGATCTCTCATATGTGAGGGTCAGGGTTCACCCCAGTCAGAGCTGAAATGAGACCTTGTCCTGAGGCAACCTGAGAGATTGGTGCCAGTGCATTTTTGCAAAAAACCAAGCTGTCCTTGAGAGATGAAACCTGGCTCAGCAAATGTCATTAGTAGCATTGACTTCAGCAGGAACAATGCTTCACACAACAGCAGATAGTGTCACAGAGGACCATCCAACTTGTATATTGGACTAATTAAAGGACCGCTACTCTGCCAGCTGGACAATCAATGCCTTTTGTACTATTCAGGAAACTAATCATTTGCTGGATACCTTTATGAGGTAAAATAGCTCTCAAGGCCTTTAGATTAAAAAAAGAACAAACAACAAAACCTTTGATGGATGCAGAGAATAATTCCTGATTTCCTGGGTTAATACAGATGTCTTGAAAATGTTGGGTTCCACATGCTTGAATGAAGGAATTCATTCCTTCTAAACTATACCAAATATTCCACTGTACTACAGAGAAAGCATAAGGAACTGAATTGTAACATCAGCTGTTTCATGTTGCTTCCAGTGATGATAGAAGACTTTTTTCCTATTATAAACGAACATTTTGTAGCTCATTTGTCTTACTTGGGCTGTAAAAGGTTTGCCTCGAGATGTTTATTATTTACTCAATACTTAATTGCCGTGCTAGAATGCATTCACAGAAAATAACATACCAATTTTTATTATTAATCGGTGATTCTGTTTTTCTTTAAGAAGCAAACAAACAAAATATTTCCTGTAGTGTTTCAGTTATCTATCGATCCTTAGGCAAAAATAGAGCAAAAGTTCAGAATAAGATGGCTGTAATATAGTGCACATACAGTTCTATTGTAGAATTGCTTTTGTCCATTTATGTTTCTGATTGGCTGCTTGGGTAGAAGGAAATTAAGCCATAAAGGATAAGTTGCTCTACATGATATTTCATTTCTGGAGGAATGGCAATAGAAATGCGTGGGCTGGGGGCCCCCATACATTCATCTCCCCTGGTATCCAGAAGTGAAATGAAATGTCACATACAGCTGCCCTAGCCCTCCACAGCTTATTTCACTATAACATTTCAGTAAAACACAGTATTAAAAGGAAACCCAAAACCTCAGCCAGTGTTGCTTTCAACAGCTTTGGTGTGGCTCTGGTTTTTTGTTACACAGATGACAGCTCCCTACTTTATATCTTGTCTGCCTTTTCTTTTAAGCTTGTCTGACTATTTATATCATTTCGCCCCGCACCAAATAGGCAGCGATATGTGCGTACTCTCATTGCTTAGAAACTGGTCTGAAAGGTTTCCCTAAGCCTGGATGTATTTGAATATTCCTCTCCTGCGTCGTCCTAGCATGTCTTTGAGCAGGTGGCTAACTAACCACAGCATGACCACGCTGTGAGAAATCAAATCTATTCTCAGATAGGCACTTCTGTTTTCTTTTACTTAATTTTCCTTTTTGGTTTTTTTTGGTATGGGAAAAACCAATTATCAAGAGAGTATAAAGAAAATAAGTCCCTTAAAATACTCCTGTAACATTAAAAAGTACAGATTTAAAATGCAGTTTGATAAGGAGCTCATTTATTCTTTTGCAGCCACCTTCACTTTTTTGTGCAGTGAAAGAGAACATTTTCTTTTCACGCTACTGGGATACCAGCAGGGGGTTGACAGTGAATGCTACATTTAGCCATAAATTTAGATGTGGTGCCGAACTGTCATGATTAAGGAATTATATTACATTGGGTCTTGAAAGGTGAACAGAAATATTATTAAGAAAAAATGGCATTGCACTACATAGTGAGGCAAAACGGCCTCATATGTATTGTTAGCAGACACTTCAATCACTTTTTCTTAAGTATAAATTTTTCTCCCTTAATAGGTTCATTGCATTGCTGGTCCATTGCTGGTCACCTGCATGGGACCAGCCCAAAGACTCCAGTAGTCCCCAGGACTCCATCTCTTCTCATCAACAGGTACTGGACAGGATTGGCCGCAAGCTGTCCTGGTGGTTCCCTGGTACAAGAGAATCACCAAAATTCCTGACAGCTGCTGAAGAGCAAAACCTGCTGATACGAACAGGGGAAGACATATTTTTTCCCCCTGAAGCTCATAAAAAAAATTCAAAAGCATTTCTAATCTGAAAAACAGCTTTTTTTTTTTTTTTCAGGAGAACATATATACAGAAAGAAATATAAATACAATCAAAAATTGATTTTTTTTTTTTAAAAAAAAACACCACACAAAAATCCTAAAATCCTCAGTCACATTTCAGGAATCTATGGAGCTTCCATCAATATAGACTAAAAGTTCAAAATAATCTGAGTTTTAGTGTCAGTAGATACTGACTGGATGGCTGAGCAGCAGTATATTAATCCACAAAGAACATTGTTTAATCTTTTCATTGGTTATCATATATTATATTTTATCTAGCATATAAGTATAGTACATATGAATTCAATTATTTTTATACACAAAGTTTCATATATTTATATATAAATTTATGTATATAAAAATATGCTAATATTAAAAACCCAATGCTAATATATAGTACTAATTACAATACATATAAAAATATATTTGCATACAAAGGTATCTATGTGTTTAAACATATGCACATGGATGTATCCATATATTACACTAGGATATATATTATATATGATATTTTAAAAACATATATATATATCTATTGAAATGGAGGGAACTGGATATTGTTGGTGTTATCATATGTCCTTCATAGTGTCTTGATGATCCTTAATCCACAGTCTGTTTCAGTGTCCCCATTATCCTTATTATTATTACTGCCGTACCTTTGGATGCCACTGGCAACTGTAGGGTGAGACACAGTAGGACATTTATCACAGGCAGAAGAGTCTCAAATTGTGAAATCTTACTTTATTTAATTTATTGCCAGGCAACACAAACACCCAATAACTCATCTGGGTTTTAAGAAAAAGAAGAAAAATATTAGATTTTTAAAACTTACAGAAACACCTATCTCCCCTCTTCCCCAGCCTCGTGGTTACCTACAGCCACAGTCCCTCTAGATGTTACTGGCCCTGCACTGATCACCCATGGCCACAGTTCCTCATGGGTGTCTCTACCCTTTTTGGCATGGGTTGTCCTCTCATCCCCCAAGAGCATATTTTCAGCCCTAGCCTCTGCTGGTGTCTTTCCTCATGACCTTGCCCAGTGGAGGCCCTTGAGGGACAATCTGCAACGTGCCCCAGCTTGCAAGGTATGATTCTTGCAAACTCCACCTGTCGCCCCTTCAAAACAGATATTTAAATACCATGTTCAGATGGCTATAAGTTAACCTGTACAATCAGCCTGAACAGGCAGTCATTACTCCAGTCCAAAGCTTGCCCCAGCCAAGTCCATGTACCAGGCACATAGGCTGAGGAACGGTGACATGTACTTGGCTGTGAAGAGACCTGTGCACAGCTTTGTTTCTGCGATGTACAAAAAGTAGTGTAATGGCTGAGGTTTTCCTACAGGGTCAAAGTATTAGCTTTAAATCTTCAATTATTCAGTAGGCAGGAAACTATTCAGCAATTTAATTTCCAGTTTGGCAGTGAATGCACTGAGGTGAAAGGAGACCAGAAGTTGGTATCACTGATGCTGGCCCAGCACTCCTGAGGAGTGGGAAGGGTGTTGGCAATGTTGATAAGAGAATAAATGTAGGAAACATTGCCTGTGGGTCATGGCATAGCTACTGCCTGTGAAGATGTGGACCAGTAGACCTCATCAAAGTCCATTGCAGGCCAGTGCAGCCCCTGACTTGTTTCCAAAGCTAAAGGAAATCAGGCAGAGAAGAGCACTGGGGACTGTGCAGGTATGCACAGCTCCTTAAGGAACAAAGGAAAAGGGAAACATTATGTGCTGAGCTGATATTTTCTAAGGTTTCTGTGGTTTTCTTTAGACATAGGGGAGAAAGCCACACTGTATTCAAGACAGGTTTTACCTGCAGCTGCCTGCCAGAGTAGAGGGTAATGGACTGGGCTTTTCAGGGCTTTAGCCATAAGAGGTTTTTTAAAGTTTTCCTTTTGAAAATGTCCCTTTCCCATAATAGGTCCTGAGTATACCCCTAATAGTCTCCACAGCTCAAAAGAACAGAAAACAGCTATGATGTCCTCTATGTCCTGTAAAAGGAAACAAGGCTTTCTCATCTTGGGTGTAGGTGGAGGCAACATATTGGAATTGCAATGTGCTTCTAACTCTCTTCTCTATTCCCTGTATACCTCTTTCACTATTTCCCGCACGCTCCCCACCAGTAATTTGTGCCGCGTGCTTCTGGCTTGTTTCAGTACCTGTGTGTCTCATGACAGCGGGAATAACTTCTTGGATGCATCAAACAACATCCTTTCTTGCACATACCCAGCTTATAGTTTATATGATAATAATGTCTTCTGCCATTACATATCTGAAATTTGGCCAGTCTTGGATAAGAGTGGTTTCTGTGCATTCACCCTGCTTCATGTTTCATTTGACTGCATGGGACCTTCCCTCTGATGTGCACAAAGGAGGCATTTGCAAGCAACATACACTTTGAGGTACTTTGTCCTATTTATGGGAAAAGTCCTGTGAAGTTTTCATCCCCTGACATGTTAATGACATGGTTCTTAACAGTACTTGGCGATGGCTTCTTCCTCATCTTTTCTGATGGCTGGTGATCAGACTGTGCCTAGAAGTGTCACAGTGGCATCATTCTATTCCAAGGAGCATAGACAACAATTTATTTTTTTTATTTTTTTTTCCCCCTGAGCAAATAATTTGCTTGTGATCCCTGGGCTCCTATTGGGAAATGTGCTAGCAAAAGGCTTTGCATCGCCTAATCTTCTCCACTGGAGTCTCAGACTTCAACTGTAACTGATCCACAGAACTACAACACGACAGAAATGGTGTTGACTTGGAACTGTCTTTAATTTTACAGAAGCTGCTTCTTTAGTCTTCCCCACTCTTTATGTGGTGATTGTATTAATAGCTCTTGGTCTTCTGACATTATGTGCTCATCTGTGGATGGCAATCCTTTTATATATTGGCAGCAAATTTAGCTTAAAAAGCACCCCAATTCTCTCATTACTGATGGTGCCAAGACTAATCTCTGTCAGCGTCAAATTTGGTAGCAGGGCCAAAGACTTATCATTGCTTCCCTAATTTGAATTTTAGATCTATTCTCTTCCTTTCAATCCAATCTTGTCTATTTAGTCATTTTCCCTTGATACTTAACCATATGTGGAGGAATGCCATTCTTTTTATAGCTCTGAATCAAGACAGGGAGACCTATTGTCTCTTTAAATCCTGACCTTAAGTTGGTTAAATGTCTTCTTTCAAGCTGAACCTGATGATGTGAACTTCTCTGCTCTCTGCTCGCTGCTGAGAGGAAACAATGTGCATTAGCTTACATGTTGTAAGGATGCATGATTTCTGCTACTGTATAGTGGGTCCACAAGCATGTGCAGGAAACTATATAGACTTCCAGAAGAATGAGGCTATGGGCAACACATGCTCACAAACTCCTTTTATTGTAGATAAGTGTCTTTCTTGTTTATATCCTATGCTACAGGTTTTTTCACTCTTATTTCCTGCCTACCTTGAAATAATTGTGTGAAAATTAATCAGTAAATGTTTGCAAAATACTCCAGACATAAAACTGCTAGAGAAGTACTAAGTATTATTGTAATTAGAATTAATAACAATAATAGAACTAGATTGAGAGCCTTTCTATGACCATAATACTTGTTTTCAGAGAGAGACCTTAAACTGACCTGCATATTTAGCAAGTTATAGCTACATAGTGTAGATAATTAAAAATAAATTACTATCAGGGTTCTAAAAGTAATTGAAAATCATGTTAATAAATTTAGAAGGGAAAGAAAAAAGAGCTCAGTGCAGAAAACAAACCAACTCAGCTAGTCATACCAGGGGTTTCTGAACAAATGCAAAGGATTGAAGCCTACAGGATATAGAACAAACCCATAGATCTCTGAACACCATTGGCAATTCATACTGCTTGCCTAAAGACCTGACCTCTTAAGAAATGGAGCAGAATCAAACGTGGCCAGGTGTGTCTAGCAGGAAGCAAGGTGTAACCACCCCTTGAGACAAAATAGAGAGCAAAATAAGATTACAGCATTTTTCAGGTAGATCAGGTCATGCTCTATTTGGATTAAGTACTGTTGGAAGCTGAAAAGGGCCTTTACCATCTTCTGTACCACATTATCAAAAGCACTCAGAAGGTTGATTGTAACAACTCCCCTGTGCTATATACACAGCCAACAGCTTCAATTCATTCCCTCTTCAGCTCAAGATAGGACCCTCCACCCAGAAACTCCAGTTTTTACCACTTGGGCTGAAAATAGACATAGCTGACAAAGTATGGGTTAGGTAAGTGGACTGTGAGGTGGAATGGAAACTAACTGGGTGGTCAGGCCCAGAAAGCTGTGATCAATGGCACAAAGTCCTGCTGGAGGCCAGTCACTAGTGGTGTGTCCAAGGTGTCAATACAGGGGCCAGTACTGTTCAACATCTTCATTAATGACCAGGCTTGTGATAGTTTAACTTAGCTGGCAGCCAAACAAGACACAGCCGCTGGCAGCCAAACAAGACACAGCCACTTGCAGCCCCTTACCCCCCCTACCAAGGGAATCGGGGAGAGAATTGGAGGGGAAAAGTTAAGGAGACTTGTAGGTTGAGATAAGAACAATTTAATAATTAGAGGAAAAATAAAATTAAAATAATATGAATAATAAGAATAATAATGTTAACAACTATATATATAAAAATGAGTAATGCACAGTACAATTGCTCACCTGCTGATAATGATCCCAGAGCAGTGAAAAGGCACCCCGAAACCAAAATCATAATCCCAGAAAAGCAAGCCCATGCAATTCCCAAAACAATCCCCCCCTTTCTGGTTGATCCTGGTTAATATACTGAACAAGATGTGATATGACATGGAATATCTTATTGGCAT